ATTCTCTATTCCTTGGTGGGCTATAGAGTGACACAGGTTAATAATCTCTTCTCTTTGATGTTTGTCAGGTACCCACTTTACCTCTCCTGTTTTCTTATTCACCACCTATCCACCTTGTATAGTCCAGTTTCCCCATCTTTCCTCAGGTTTAACCTCCTCTTTTATGGCTTGAGCTGTAGTAACTCCCAAAGGTTCCTTTGCTGCTAATTTAGCTAAAGCATCCGCTTTATCATAACAATATGTTTCATTCCCTTCTTGTTTTTGATGACCTTTAATATGTCTTACTCTCAATTTTCCTGGGTGTTTTTTCAACCAATCATAGATACATTTCCAATCCTCCTTTTGGACCAATTTTTTCCTCTCAGCTGTTTTCCAAGGATTCTTTTTCCAAATCCCAATCCAGTATCAGAGTCCTTGTACCACAAAATCTGAATCCATATAGACATAAAGACAGTCAGCAACATTATTTTTCTGCTTACGCAGATCACCAAGACCTCTGACCTCTGCTCCCTGAGCTGAAGTCATACTCATAGAACCAGAAATAGTTTCCCCATCAATTTGTACAGCTGCATATCCCGTATATTTCTTAGAGTTCTCATGGTATGAACCACCATCTGTAAAGCAAACCTCTTTTTCTTCAAGGCTTAACACTTCATCCACTGGGGGTGCTTCTTCAAGTAACTTCGGTTTAGTTTCTGGAAGTGGGCATTCATGCTCCTCTCCTTCCATCAGAAGGGCATATGGTAACATCACTGCTGGTTTGTTATTCTCATAAGTAACATCTCTGCTAGTTAACATCAAGGTCCATTGGGCTATCCTGGTATTTGATACTCCTTTCCCCTGCACTTTCCCTGATAAAATATACTTCAGGGGAGAGTGAGTTGTTTGTATTATAATAGGGGCTGTGCCAGTAGTCAAAGCAAAAACTTCAATGGCCCACACAGCAGCTAAACATTCTCTTTCACAGATTCAAAACTGCTGCTCCTTAGGGGTTAATCTTCTAGACTCGTATGCTACCGGTATTAACTTCCTGTCAGTTTCCAGCATCAATATCGCAACTAGACTTTGTTGGGTTGCTGCCAACTTACTCACAAATGGCTTGCATATCTCTGGGAATTTCAATGTTGGAGTTGGCATCAAGGCTTGTTTTAAATTACAGAAACTTTTTTCTTGTTCAGACCCCCACTCCCATTCTACTTTCTTTTTTAGTAAACACCAGAAGTGTCCAGTTATAGAGGTAAAATTCCAGATGTGTTTCCTTAAATAGTTAAACCCTCTGAAGGCAAACCAAACCAGCCAGACAAAGACTTTGGTCTTACCCCACTGGCTAACCACAAGTCACACAAGCAATTTACTTAGACACTCCAGTTTCCCGGTATCACCACCAGTGCCACTCGTTATGGGGACAAATGGTTATGAAAACCAATACCCCAGTAAAAGAAAAAAGGTTCTCCTGATCCCAAAGGACCAAGCCCCAGACCCAGGTCAATATACAAATCAGATCTTACCTACAAATCACGCTGTTGCCAATCCTTTAGAATCTAAAATCTAAAGGTTTATTCATAAAAGGAAAAAGATATAAATGAGAGCTAGAATTGGTTAAATGGAATCAATTACATACAGTACTGGCAAAGTTCTTGGATCAGGCTTGTAGCAGTGATAGCATAAACTGCAGGTTCAAATCAAGTCTCTGGAACATCCCCAGCTGGGATGGGTCATCAGTCCTTTGTTCAGAGCTTCTGTTTGTAGCAAAGTCCCTCCAGAGGTAAGAAGCAGGATTGAAGACAAGATGGAGGAGTTGCATCAGCCTTTTATAGTCTCCTCCAGGTGTAAGAACATTTCTTTGTCCTTACTGTGGAAAATTACAGCAAAATGGAGTCTGGAGTCACATGGGCCAGTCCCTGCATACTTTGCTGAGTTCCAAGGCGTATTTGCCTCCTCTCAACGGGTCAATTGTATAGCTGATGGTCCTTAATGGGCCATCAAGCAGACTAGGCAGAGCTAACACCAACTTGTCTGGGAAGTTTCCCAGAAGCATAGCATAAGTTTGAAATACAGACAGTACAGAGTCAATATTTATAACTTCAACTACAAAATTGATACGCACATATAGACAGCATAATCAAAAACTGCCAACCATAACCTTGTCTTAGACACTTCATTTGACCCCCTTTATACAAGATTTAGTGCCACTACAGGACTTTGGTTGCAACCATGTTCTATATGGTCCCAGTTCAAATCAATAACGTCACACCCTCCTAACATCACCCTCAATGCGTGAGACTCCTCTGGCCTTGGTAAATTCATTAGTGATTTCACTTTTTGTTGATCTACCTGAATTCCTTGTTCCTCTAGGGTCACCCCCAAAAATTCACTCTCCTCTGCACTAGTTGGGCTTTCTCTTTATTAGCCTTGAAACCCGTTTCCTGGATGAGTCTCAACACTTTTCTAGTCCGCTCAGTCACCTCCTCTTCAGTGTCTCCCCACACTAATATGTCGTCTACATATGAGGTGACATTCTCCTGATCCTCTTTGGATAATTGATCCAGCATTTGCACCACATATTGGTACGCAATAGCCGGAGTGCAGTGTAGGCAACAGGGAATTATTTTAAATAAGTACTGTTGTCCCTTAAAAGTAAACGCAAAGCAGGCCCAAAAATGGGGATGCAATGGGATAGTGAAAAAACAATTTGCCAAATCTAGGGGCCCCCTCGTATTCTTGCCATTACGTGAGGTAGATCTGCTACTATTGGTGCCATGCGGGGGTAGCTTTATTAATTTGTCTAAAATCCACTGTCAATCTCCAATCTCCTGAGGCTATTAATAGGGGCCAAATTGGGCTATTGTATGCAGAATTCCCCTTTTCAATCATTCCCTGTTGTTCTAATGCAGGGTTGGCCAATCTGTGGCTCCGGAGCCACACGCGGCTCTTCAGAAGTTAATATGCGGCTCCTTGTACAGGCACCGACTCCGGGGCTGGAGCTACAGGTGCCAACTTTCCAATGTGCCGGGGGAGGCTCAATGCTCAATCCCTGGCTCTGCCCCCACTCCACTCCTTCCCGCCCCCTCCCCTGAGCCTGCCGTGCCCTCACGCCTTCCCCTTCCCCTCCAGAACCTCCTGCACGCCACAAAACAGCTGATTGGGAGGTACAGGGAGGGAGGGGGAGTCATTGATTGGTGAGGCTGCCGGTGGGCAGGAGGCACTGGGGGGGAGAGAGCAGATGTGGGGCTGCTGACGTATTACTGTGGCTCTTTGGCAATGCACATTGGTAAATTCTGGCTCCTTCTCAGGCTCAGGTTAGCCACCCCTCTTCTAATGATTCAATTATTTTCTCAATTCCTGCCTCTGCTTGCACAGGGTATTTATATTGTCTCTGCGGTGGCACTTCGTGCCCCACGATTTTAACACATGCTTCCATTTTACCACATTCTGCTTTTTCCTTAATCCATACATTGGGAAACTCCTTTACCCACATATCCCATTGATCTAGTATAATCTCCTCCACTGCTTCTGCAACACATATTCTTGGAATGTCCCTGCTGTCAGGACGCTTTCCATCCAGCCGGGCACATGCCACAGAACTCCATTGGTTAAATCCCAAACTAACTGATTCCTCTTCGAAAAAGGAGTCCCCTGTATTACTGGCTCAGCCACCTGATCTATCTGAAGCATTTGTTCTTTACAACAAAAATCCCCCACTCTCTCTCTGGGTATAGCTATTTCTGCTGAATGATCCATTGTTCCTGTCACTCATTCCCCAATAAAGGAGGCTGCTGTAATAATCTCGGACACATATTGAGTCAAATCACAACTTATAGTTACAATATTTACACATGCCCCACTATCCACGACTGGATATTAGGGAAAAAAAATCACTAGGAGGGTGGTGAAGCACTGGAATGGGTTACCTGGGAAGATGGTAGAATCTCCTTCCTTAGAGGTTTTTAAGGCCCGGCTTGACAAAGCCCTGGCTGGGATGATTTAGTTGGGGATTGGTCCTGCTTTGAGCAGGGGGTTGGACTAGATACCTCCTGAGGTCCCTTACAACCCTGATATTCTATGATTCTAGGATCCAATAGGGCATCGTTGGGTTCATTATCTCCACAGTGACAGTTGTCCTAGGCCTTCCATTTGAATCCCATCTTAATCTAGTTACCATCTCCCACTCTTGAGGACCCATCATCAGGGCTTCCCTATAGACCAGGGTTCTCTGAACCCTCAGTTTGCATAGCTGCAACCTTTTTCTGCTCCTTAAACATTTCTTCTTCCATCCTTTGCATTTCTTTCATCAATTCATCAGCACGTCTCCCATCCCACTTATCCATATCTACTCCCCTCAATTTCAATACCTCCAAGCGATATTCTGAATCACATCTACTCCCTTCTGGGGCTCATTTGATTATTCCACCCTCTACCTTCTTGGGGTGGGGTGTTTTGTCCTCTACCACGGCCTTTTCCTCTCTCACGGTATCTTGATCTATGAACACTCTCATCTAAATATGTTATTGCTTCAACAAAAGGTACTCTGGGTTTCAGTCCTTTGACCTGGCTTCCACCTTTCATCAATTGTTGGCATACTATCCAGTGCTGCAATGCATCCTTAACAGTTAACCCCTCATCCTGGGCTGCTTGGTTCACCAAATTAGTAGACATCACTAATAAATTTCTGTCCAATCCTTCAAACGTATCATTCCATAATTCCCTGAGTCAAATCAACTGCCATCAAAAAATCAGGTGTGACATGTCTGGTGACCTCCGCCCTGGGATTAGTCACTGGTTGTATTTCTCCAGCCAAGAATCTCAATGGTATTCTCCTTAACAGGTAATCCCTGGGTGAATCTCCAGGCTCCATGTGATCTGCACTGGATAACATCTTCATGGGTCTTTAATCTTTATCTTTCCCTAACAGCATAATAAATCATGGTATCAGTTGATGTGCTTCTGGCTGCCTGTCCAAAACATTTTTCATTTGATCTGCTGCCTGTCTAATCTCTTACCTCAATTTAGTATAAAGCCCCTCTCGACGGTTGGTTCCCTTTTCTCATAACCGCCTCGCAGATCCTCTGCATACCAAATATCATTAGAATCCAAATCCGAATCCAAATCTCTCTCTTTTTGACACACATCCGCAACTTGCAGCTCCTGTATTTTCACTTGCTTTTTCAGTCCTGCTATAGTTTTCTGGCACCAACTGTGAGAAACACTTACGATCTCCTCTTCCTTTCCATTAGTCAAATCTCAAAATAACTGTTTCATTCCTATCACTTGATGATCTAATTTATCTTTGTCTGCTTTAATCTTTTCCCAATCCATCATTCTTTTCTCCAATTCCCTATTTTGTTTCCCCATTGGTTCTAACTGAGTTTGCATTATCTGTGCCTGCCTCACTTCCCACTCCAAATTTTCCTGGCAAGTTTTAAAATTCTCTTGTAATGTTTGCAACTCTGCATGTATTTCCCCCTTACATGCAATTACCTTTTTACAGCTTGCCACAACAGCCATACTACGGCAGTTTGCTTTTTACTTGCATTCGGCTTGTACATCTGTACATCTTTCTCAAATCTGTTTTCTAAGGTATCAAATGTTACATCCGGTTCCACTGCACCTTTCATCCAAGTGCATGTCCCAAATGCATTAATCTCCTTCTCTAACAGAGAAGGGACTTTAACTTTGGTCCACTGGGTTTCTTCTTCCCCCCCTTTACTTCATTTCTTAAACAGTGTTTTAAACATCATTACACTAATAGCACGCGGTATCTCCCCACACATTTTTTTTCCTCACAAATTTC